AATATTAAAATGATACATTATAGAACATAGTATACATATGGCACTCTGCTTTTGGCTTTTAGTTTTTAAGAAAATTATCTTTAGTTTGATTTTTGAAATTTTGATAGCCTCTTTGCATTGAAATCAAAATATAATTGATCTACAGTATAATGTTAATACAGGATTTAGAGGTAGCTTGCACAAAGCATGTTAATTCCATCAGTCAGGCTGAGATTGCAGTTGTTAGTTAACATTGCTAGGCTAGTTACCGGCTTGTTTAGCAAGTGTTAAAAACAGGATTAACTTCAATTTAAGTTAGAGGCTGAGGTGGTAGTTAGTCTACTCTTAAACTAGGCTATAGTTACCTTTTGCAGGACTAGTTAAGCCCAATTACTTATTCAAATCTGTTGGTATGTCTACCATTCATTCATATTATATTTAATCATAATTAATATATATATCATTTAATATATTTAAACATGTGCTAACTGTTAACAAACTGCTACCATTAGATAGTTAACGGTCCCATCAGCTGACTGTATCTGGGCTGCAAGCTCAAAGTACGGGGAGATTTGTCTACACCGCTAGCCCAGGAGCCGAGGAGTGGGGCCGGAATGAGCACCATAGCCGGAGTGGGGCAACGGAGCCGGACTCAGCAGCCTCCCGGTGACCACAGCGCGGACCGAACACTAACTGATTTATGGCTCAGGTGGAGGAAGAAAATCGAGTTTGTAGCGAGTTTTAATGTACATCATTCATTGTATCAATGTTATGTTGAAATAAATGAACTAAATGTTCAGTCTCCGTGCTGGTTGTTCAGACACATTCAGAATCATTGCTGCTTTTTATGTTAGCATTTACAGAAATATATATATTTAAATATTTCAATTAATATCGTAAACGTTCCAACCAGTCGACCAATGGCTTTTACTAGGGAAGGTCTTCAGTCAGGGACAGCAGTAGTATGGTAGTTGCTGCATTTTGGCTTTGTAAGGCACCAATCATTATCATACAAAGCCATTTTCTGAGCTTTAAAATGTTTTATTTCCTTGCTGTGGAAATGAGATAATGGGGTTTTCAGCTGCAGCAGGTGACATTTATCATTTTCTTTGTCAAATTCAGTTATTTTTCACCTAAAACTTCCTGTAGGATTCATCAGTCATGCCCACAGAGAGGTATTAGTCAGGTTCCAGGCCTGGCTGTTATGGAAAGGTCAGGAGATTTGTCTCTTCCTCAAGTGTATTTTCTCTTCCCTGGTTTCTGAGGAACAGTGAGCTGTGATGTTAAAGCCGGGCCACAGCCTCCACTCCATCATGGTAGACATCTCAATCCGTTTCCACTGTTAGCCTTTTATACCACGTTTACAGCAGCACAGGTTTTCAATACCGATCAGTCACTGCTCCTTTCCCCTTCATTCATCACTACCTCCTTCCTGCTATTTTTCTCCTTCCTCCTCATCCTTTTCTCTTTTACAGTCGCCTGCCTTCACTCCCTGCTTTCCTACAATGCTTCTCCCTCTCTCCGGCAGCAGACCAGTCTATCTATCTCTGCCTTGGCTTTAACTCTCACCTCTTTTAGCCTTCCCTCGTCTTTTCCACTCCCTTTTCCTTCCCCCACCCGTTCTCGTTTTCATCATTTGTTGAAGGGCTGAGTGCGGCCGGATGCTGGTAATCTGGCGCTCTGATTGCATAGGACATGCATGAATGATGCCAAACCTTGTTCCCAATATCCTCTCGCTTTGAGTCATGACTTTAATCATTACTAATGGAAGGTGATGAATACCTGGGACCAGTTGAGTATTTTGTGAATTGCACCGTGTTAGAGTGACTTGGAGAAGGAAATTGGATTGCCTTGTTTTCCTGTGTGGTGAGCAAAAGGTTTGGTTTCATGTAAAACCGAAGGGCCGGTCAGTGCATTGATACCTGAATATTTTTATGATTTTACAACTCAACCCTCATATACACACTGGAACCTTTCAGTTAATAGCAGTCATGTCAGTAAAGGAAAGTCACAGCTAATAGAGATGTAATTTGGTAAAGCTTTTGGTAAAGGTGGAGCCACATTCTGGATGACTCCATGTAATAAACCTTCCATAATAAAAGAAAAATGAGAATTTGTTTCATATTGTGACAAAATAATTCTTAAATTAAACTCCATTTACTCGGTTGAGTTAGTGTTATTTTGTCAAATTTCCATGGTTCAATGTTTTTCCAGTTCAGATGTTATTTTCTTCCCCCTCAATCATTATGTTGTTGACAGTCTTGCCATGTGTTTTCTTATTAGCAACATTGAAGTTGTCATTACATCTCAAAAAGCCATTATGTCTCAAAATGACAAAATAATGGGCCACGTTAAGACATTTTTATGTTGATAACCCTGACCCATCACTCCGCCATTCTCTCCACATTTGCATGTCTTAGCCCTGTGTGTGTGTATGGGTTAGGGTGTGTACAAATATCTTCGTAGCGATGTTCGTGATTTGGCAAAGCAAAGCAGGTATACACCTCACTGCATGTTTGGATTGCATGTTCAGGTTGCTGAATAATGCCCTGTGCCCTGAAACCCCTGGTGGGGCATACAAATATTTCCTGAATGGTAGACCAACCGTTCTCTGAATACAGAAATACCGGACTCTGCAATCTATTCTAGATGCTGTGGCTCTTATTTACGTCCTTGTAAGCAAACGCTGCCATACATGAATACTGCCAAATCAAGAGGAGTCAACTCTGTGAATTCTGAAGCTAGCTAATATCAAACCTGACTTCAGGTAACTAAAGCATTTACAGTGGATCAGCCAAGAAAATGGCAAGTTAGGTGCTACAGTGTTAAAAAGTGTGGAACCATAACAATGTCATAAGCATATCTTTGTCCAAGATTTTTGTAAACAGAGAGCACCTCTTGTTTCTAATCTACTTGCACCATCAAAGTAGACCATAAGGTACATGCTTAAGGTACACCTGTGAGCAATCTACATTTTAGTACAATAGTGTGCTTCTTGCCATGAGACCCAAGAGAGGCTGAAGATCGTGTCACTGCCAATGAGTCCTGATGAATATTTCCAGAGCTATATAAAAACGGTTTGCCTACTGCACACAGCAGATACAGCTGACAGTTTGCATTTTTATTCTCTGTTTCAAGATAATAAGGTGATGTCTCCCTACAAATCTTCCTAAACTGTTAATAACTGTTGAACTGAGGTTGATGTGATGGCATAAACTCCAACACGACTGTGTACACAGTAACAAATAAAGCTGTTGTTTCTTTGCCTGTGGCTCCAGCATCAGATCTTATTCTTTACACTGTGCAGTTTATCTGAGATGAACATCTTGATATGAGCCCTCTCCCCTGTCTTTACCTTTCAGCTTCTTCCTCCCTTAAGATGCTTCTGCTTAGTGATTAGCAGCTTAAAATATACCAATGTGAGAACTTTACCCATTTTACAGCTCCCTAAACAGAATCACTCAATCGTATAGGTGATTAATACTAGACTGACAGATGTGTAGATGAGTCTGTGGAAAAAGTGCATGAGCCCTCTCCATTAGTTTATTTATTAGTCTTGATCTGATATAGGCTATTTAAAGCCATCACCCAATTATATATGCACTTTTTGTTGGTGGCCCTGAGCACTGGAGTGTGTATTTATTTATTGCCTCCATCTATCCCAGCACACACACACACACACACACACACACACACACACACTTGCGCAGGATGAAAGTTCAGTTCCACACTGGCAGCTAAAATCATATGCATTCATTTTTAATTAAAATCTAAACTTAGGTGTTTTGCTGCAGAATATTTTATATTCCCTGGGGACATCACAGAGTTCAGCGTTTAATACATTTTTCATCATTCAGCCTTGAGATTGGTTGTCTTCACATTGTTTCTACCTGACCTGAACTTCTCTGAATGTTTTACTTTTCTATTTGGAAGTTAATGCATTTCTCCAAGGTCCACTGAATACAATATTACCTTTTATTAACAACGGTGGGTGTGTTTGTAGAAAATACACATTATTTGCCTGGTTCGTTCAGAATTATGTCTTCAGATGGCATGATTGTTCAGTAACAATGCAAATAATAGTCATACAAGGGGAAGTAATGAAGAAAAAATGTGAGGAGAGGAGAGACAAATGGCATCTTGGACTGTGTTGCACTATATTCATTTATCCTACTGACTTTTTTATATGTGATTAGATGGATAGGAATAAATATGTGTGTATATATATGTAAATATCTATTTGAATGTTAGAATTTAGATTCCAATAAGGAATATGAAATTATGCGAATTATGCAAAAGGAAGTATAGGGTTTTTTGATATATGGTATTGTATAGTATTGTTATTTTTGTGAAATGTAATTGTAAATCTTCCCAATTTATATGGTTATTAAACAGCATTTTGATCACGTCTCAGGTCATATATGTCAACCTTTCTTTTTAAAACCTTTTACTCTTTAATCAAAATGTGTACACTAAATATTATCAAGCTAGGTAGCTATACAGCAGTCACACATGGCAGTCACCGGATAAATTCTTTAGTAATAACAGCTAGTTTGTGTGGTGCAACCCATTTTGAATTAGTGATCTCTACTTAGTAAACGTTATAAACTAAATGTTAGTAAATGTAATAACTAAAGTAATTTTAGCAGGTTTCCAAATCAGCCTGAGGCTAGGAGGTATAGGTTGAAATGAAAATATAGCTAAAAGTAGCATATTTGATGTTTTTTGACATATGTTTAATGCAACTTGAATTGCGCTCTATTGGCATCAAGTTTATTATTAAAACTTGGCTAAAATGAATTGATTTCACATGCTTTTCAACAGTAACTTTTTTAGTAAAATCAAGGTGTCTAAATCATCACAAAACAAGTCCAACGAGTCAATAATTGGTAATATTAAATTATTTCCCAGCCCTATATTCAGCAGCCATAGCATGTATGTACTACAGTACAAATGTAATAAAAGGTGCTTGAATTTACAAATCGGTACCAGATAAATAACACAGACAACTGCAAACAAAATTAATTCAGTACATTTAATTGTTAATTGATTCATTGCACATTTGCTCAAGTGCAGAGTCATACTCAATGTAAAGCTTTAAAAAATACAATCTCAGTCATCTCTGACGTGATTCTGAGTGGTTTCATGTTTTTTTTTTAAATAAAATACAGTATATGACAGATAAACCTTCTCTTTAGACTCATACTCTTTGATAACTCTGTAAAGTAAACACTGAGAAACAGGGCAGCATAACTGGTCAACGTCAAAGATACTTTCATTCATATTTAGGTAGTGTAACTTTCAACAATGATACATGTGCATTTCCCTTTCTCTGTGTAAACACAATTGTGTCTTATTTATTTTTTATTTTTTTTGATTTGTAAAGTGTGATACTGTACTACCTTTTAGGGAGAGCCCTCACATTAACTGTAGCATAAATTACCATCTTTCTGTTGGCACCTGAATTATCGCAAACTTGAGCAGCAGCACTTTTTGTGTATGCTGCATTTAACTCGTCCCCCAAGTTTCATTTCAGAAATAGCTCAACAGGTTTACAATATTTAACATTTTTTCTCAAATTAAAAAAATAGTTTGGATCATCGACTGTACACAATACCAAAAACAATGTGCTTTTTCCCCATATAGTGTATAGTGCTGAGTTCAACATGCCCTCCATCGGCTGTAGTTACAGTGCACCCATCTCCCATTTTTGAGGCGGGTGGTCGTCACAGGATGCATCAAGGAGGCCTCTCTCCGTGAAACTTTCGGTGTCTGTACCTGCCGTTCTTTTCCTTGGCCATGTTGATACAGGCATTGTGCTTGTTGGTCTGCAAGTGGTTCCAGTACTTGATGAGTTCATTGGGGTGGAACTGATGGGATGTGATCAGGTGGCTGTACTTACAACTGGAGTAAGACACCCGCCAATGGTTGAAAAGGAACTCGTTGGGAGGGGGCGCTGGGTCGATGCGCAGCTTCGCCAGGCAGATCCCCACATAAACGTCCTCCAGGTGGAGCCTCCGTATGCTGAGAGAGGCCTGGTAGATCAGCTCGGCCATGTCCCCTGAGAACACATACCCTGTTCCCGAACAGAATATCGGGTAGCGCTCACTTGGGTACAGTTCCGGTGGCATGTACCACTTGCTATCCTTGTTGCGGTTTGGTGCATAGCCTCTCATCAGGTAGCCAGTGAAATACCTCTGCTTGGGAGGCAGCTCGGGCTTCAGCAGCTTTTGGATGAGATACTCGGTATTGACAAACATGTCGCTGTCTGTCTTCATCACATAGGAGGCATGTGGGCAATAGGTGGCCACCCAGTTCATGCCCATCAGGGTTTTGATAGTCAGGTTGTAGTAAGTGTCCTGATAGTCCTGTTGGATGATGTCGTGGTAAACACGGCTCTCTTCCTCTATGCTGCTCTGGAGAAAGGTGTCTGAGCTCTTTCCTGTGCCAAGCAGGAAAAGACGGATGAACACCAGACCCATTGCTGTGCTCTCATTCCCCCATGTCTGGCGGATGGCGTTCCGGGCATCAGCCTGGCCAGGTTCTGCAGCAATGAGGAGGATGAGGAAGGGAGTGCTGTCCCTGCACTTGAAGGGCTCGTTCAGGATGTAGCGATAGGGCTGAGCACTGAGCCTCCCTCCGACACCCATCTCCTTCTGTAAACTGTTGTTAGTGCTCATGGAGTCCCCAAGCCCCATTACTCCCATCCTGGCTCCTCCTCCACCACCTCCTCCTCCTGCTGCTGCCTCACCTGCTGCCCCATCCGCCTGCTGAGAGCTGAGGTTGAGCAAAGGCTTTGGCACTACATACCCCGCCTCCCTCCACAGGCTCTTCAGGGAGTTGCTCTGGTTGGCTTCTCCCTTGGGGCTGCGGAAACCCCTGACGGTGTAGGCCAGTGGGTTTTCCCGGGGTCCACTACGTCCCGGTAGCCAATCCTGGTGGCTGAAAAATAAGAAGAGGGTGAAGAGCAGAGCCAGAGAGAGGAGGCCGGCCACATGGGTCCGGAAGAGCGAACGCTTGACGGTCCAGGTCATCTTGATGGGACAGCAGTGCCGCCGTCTCCACTGCATGATGCAGATCGGGGTCGCAGGAGGCTGCTGCTGCTGCTCGGGAATGGGCGGCGGCGGTCACATACAGTCACCTCAAACATGTGGTTGCCAACAGTCAGAGGGTTATCTGAGCTGGCAGATGGGTTGGAGTGAGCCTCCTGGTGGAGTCAGGGGAACGTTTGAGCCCCCCAGTGCAGCTTGGAGCAGGGTTAAAAGGGCCCCTTGATGGAGCTAGGAAGGCGATGATTCTCTGGCCATGGAGGCTTCTCCCTGGCGCTTCTTTGGCACTGTAGACAAACACAAGCTCATGCTCTATGTCTCGACTCCTTCAGGATATGATAAGGGTCACCTCCTCTGTGTTTGCTCTCTCTAATCTGAAAAGAGAAAAAAGAAACAGAGAAAACAGTCTTGGCAGATGTCCGAAACGCACCTCCTATCCACTGGCACTGAGCCACATGTCAATTGTCTGACTTGCAGATGTGTTATTCTACTTATGTGGACAACCGAATCTTATTTCTTAATCATTTTATTTATGGTTTGTACACAGTAATTTCTTCCAGATGCAAAAGCCCCAATTAGAACATTCTGTGGATGCAGTACCCACATTGGTAAATGGCACTTTTGGTAAGCTGACTTAACATTTTGAAAGGGAGAAGCTGAATCAATATGACAGCATTGTAGCATCTTTGATTGGACAGGAATGTAAAAGACAGAAGGCTCTGGGGATGTGGCTTTTTGGCGAAATAAAATGTGAGATTGAGAGAATATGGTTAAGCGCAGAGCAGCGGCAGAAGGGAAGATTGCTGCTGTAAAAATGACTGTGTATACAGTGCATCTCTATGGTTGAAAAAAAGCACATCCAGATGTATGCCTGCGGTAGTTGCTGAGGTACAGCACAACACATTTTCATACTGAATCAATCTCACAGTAAACATGGCTGATTAAATGAACACATTTCCCTTTACACAATGGCAGAAAATAAGAAAATAATCCTAGATCATCACAAACTCATCTCACAACTAAACCATCTAAAAATAGTGAAGAATAGGAAATACTCTATGAAGTTCTTTGTGGAAACTATGAGCTGCAGCCTGGTGCACGGTGAGATGGTGGTTGCCTCTTGCATGTCATTATTCAGCTTAATGCCTGGGGCATAAGTATAAATTGCAGGTTTGCTCAACGTGGTGCCGGCTAACGCTACACTGAGCCGCTTGGGCGAGCGAGTGTCATCAGCCCCCCACAGTGCGTCGACAGCTAGGGAGGAGATGCATCTGTCAAAATGAGTTTTCAGGGTCCAGCAGGCAGTGGTGCCAAAGCCTGAGCCAGCCTCTGGCGATAACAGCCTTCACCCGCAATTCACCTTCCACCTTCAGCTTATCAATGCTGCCTACTGTCTAGTTGAGACCACCCCGGCTGCTGGATCTTCCAGGCATAAATACAGGACATACAAGGAAACACGCACATAGATGTACACATGCAAGCACACAAACATGCAACAACACAGACAAAATGCGACGTGGATGATTGCATCTGTTGCCCACGGGGAGTTGTGCACCGAGGGAGACACAAAGGCGATCACGTATGTGCACACTGATTCTGACTCACCAAGGCAAACAGTTCATCAGTTTGCACAAGCACAAAATTTACAGTGCATTCCACATAATCATATGTAGACCAAATACTGCACACATAATCATTTTTTTGTGTTCACAGACCCACTAACACAAAATCTAATGCAGACCAGACTTATTGATATACAAAACAAACATACTGCACATGTTATCACTCTTATGTCTATAGACTCACACACAAAGATGTATGTGTCTAATGTGGATATAATTACGTATGGTGTGCACATACATCATTATTATTTGTGTGAACTCACACACACACACACACACACACACACACACACACACACAGACACATCACCAGAGAAAACAGAATATGCCAGCAGAGACTTGCAGGTTGTACTAGACTCTAGTGAATATTAATGTAGCAGCAGTGCAAGTCTTGAATCCATCCTTCTTTCCTGAGTGTGTTAATTTACTGACTGCCTGCGTTGCCTTTTTGTTTGTTTGCTTGCTTTTTTAATAATTTGCAGATAGCAGACAACAGAGAATTATTTTGTGCAAATGCTACATGCCGGTTAGTGTGAGGCAGATTTTCTAAACTTCCAGTTTTCATTTCCTGCTATGTTTGCTCATTCATCATGACAACTGGCAAGAAACACGATAACCTTTTCAGGCGAGTGTGCTTACCCAGCGCAAGCAATTACAGGAGAATGAGAGGGGCCAGGGCCGGCTTTGTTTTAAAGGTTAACATACTTTACATCGAAGCATATCCAGCGCTTGAGAAATTTCTGCTGTCAACTAAATGAACATCTAGTTATACGTGAGCTCTGATGAAGAGTGCACACACAGAGGGGCGCATATACACATAAATACAAATATACACAGAGATACACACACTTAATGAATGCCCACACACACACCCACCCACACACTCACATGCAGATGGAAATGACTGGTTGTGTATGACTTTTTTTGTTGTCGACGTAAATGCCAATTTCACTGGGAGATCAGACATCCATTTTTACTTTTTAGCAGTTCTATTTAATCTGCCGATGCCTCTCCTCATTAATTCATTTTCTTGCCTCCCATCAATGTCACTTCTATGCAAGCCAATTAGTTACACTAGCACTAATTAAAGCCCCAGCGATTCTGCAGCGGTCAATAATCAGAACGAAGGCTGGGGGAGTGACACAGTGACATGGTAGGCATACATTATAGTGTTGTCTCTGTCACCACATCAGCTTCAAACCGAGAGGAAAAAAATAAAATTAAAAGGAGGAAAAACCTTGTACAGTGAGGTATGAACACCATTCTCCACAGTTTGCTTTCATTGTTTCCACGCCCACATAAACAGCGTAGCCCCGTTTTGCCTCCACAATGTGTGTAATGCATGCAAAACAAGCTTTGCTCATGTCGATGAGGATACTGTATGACCTTCGTTCAGTAAAACAGTGCACTTTGTGATAGTGACACATTTTCCTCAAGAAAAATACAGCTCCCATTTGTGAGCCATTTAGAGTAGCTGTTCACTGAATTTAGAGGTTAAATTTGGCTTTATTGAAACAGGCCTGACTGATTACGTGGCTGAGTGAGGTTGCCGTTCCATCTAATAAGACTGCCTTCAAGCAACAATCCTCATTCAACCACTACATTTATGATTTATTTTAATGTTAAAGCAGGGCTGTAGCACATGGCCTTCATCATGGCAACGCAATAAAAAAGAATTCCTGAGAATGGCCATGTGAAAAAACAATTCTTTAACAAAGAAATTGTGATTGTTGTGGCTGAATGAGGACCATCGCTTCTACAGTTGCAGCTTACAATTATTTTCATTATCTATTAAACTGATAATTATTTCCTTGATTAATAAATTATGAAGTGTCATAATACTTAGCGAAAAGTGGCCATTATAATTAGAAATGTTGGAAAAGAGCATGTGCAGCAGAACATCAGATAATATTGCAGTTATACAGTATATAGTTATATTTTCGTTTCAGTAGTGCACTGAACAACATTTTCTATGTACGTCTACTTTAGTATTAGCATTAGTATTACTATTTTATGTTGTGAAAAAGATCAACTTTGTTGCATTGCTATAGAATATACTGCCCAACAGTAATTCAAAGTAACTGTAATACTGCATAATTAGTACATTTTGCTTAGTTTTCATTAAACTATTTGTATTTTTACTTACTCATTTTGAATACAAGGCTTAAGTAGAGGATCTGAATACTTCCTTTACCACTGGTTTTTCATAACTTAAACACTGACTGTTGAAGAAGCAACTGTATTCATAGCCTTAGCAACAAATTTAAAGTCATATCAGAAAGATACATAGTTCCTGATTTCACAAAATGATGCAGCCGGCAGCTATAGATGACTCATTTTTATTTTCTCTCTCTACTTACCAAGGTTTTCAATTTTGATGCAAGAAGGTTGTAATGTCAATGTCTAATCGACATCCACGTTTTCTAGGAAATGAAAACGAAGCTATTCCTGTTCTGTTTAGCCCTAATTCTGTATAAAAACCCTTGAGTGCTGCACTCCAAAAAAGCTTCACCAACCTAAAGTTGGTCCTGACGTTTGTCTATTTAGTGCTTTATCGCAGTCTGGGTTGAATACAGTTGTTACACCCAATAAATATAGGCAAGGAGGACACCCACTGTTTTGTTTCTGTTTAATTTGAGACTCTGCCCTGGTTCTGAAACTTTGTTATTAGCATTCCAGTTGGGAGCCAGAAACCAAACCTAAGTCTCAAGAAAGGCCTTTTTTAAAAACAGCTTTATCTCCCATCACTCATTCTCTCTCTTAAGGACCTCCCTTCCTATTGCTCTGTCCTGTATTGCTTATGTTGGCAAGAAACATCTGAACTGTTTCACTGCTGTTGTGGCTTGGCATGCACAGCAATGAGTTATAAAACGTTCACATCTGCTTTTGTTCTCTCGAGGTCACGCTGGGCTCATCTTAAAACGAATCTTCTGGGGAATTCAGTGCAGGGCTTTGTTCAGAGGAGTCACTTGAAAGTAAGGAGGCTGCTGGTGAGTCCACACCTCTCCCCTCACTGCTGCTGTGGTCTCATCTTAATCCCTCTTCGTCCTGGTCACCTCCCTCTCTCTAGTTCAGCTGCACTCTTCCTCAACAATCTGTCATTTTCTGACTCTTGTTTACCATCTGATTGCAGTGAAGAGTTCACAAAGACAGCCAAGAAAACGAGTGAAACGGAGGTGAGAGGTGGCGTTCTTGCTCTTCCTGAATTTCACTCCCTCCCTACCAAAGTGACCTATGCCGTTTTTCCATAATCAAATTGCAATGGTTTGTGAATAAAACATGGTATTGTATAAGAGAGTGGTTTCCAGCTGTTCGATGTGTTCATTTGTATTGAATTTAACTGGACGTTAACACTATTAACTATACAGAAGTTGATATAGTTACAGGATTTTTTATATACAATTAACTTCCAGTGTTTTGGATCATTTGGTCAAGTTTGCATTCATACTACCAGTAGAAGAACTTAAGAGGTTTCAGCAATTTATCTCTCACTTTTAGCTTTTTTAACCATCATCTATTACTATTTCTCCATTAGCTATCGATTTTACCTGTTTATCCAGCTAACTAATTGAAAGATTCAGTCATAGCTTTAAGCTATAGATAAATGGTTTAAATAGATGCTAAAAGCTAATTGCAAACTTCTGCTCGCTTGTAAACTAGGTTTTTTTTCTATTGCAATATGTACTATAGAAAGCTTACTCAACATGTGGATATACATATTTTAAAAAATCTTATTTTTTATTTCCAAGTACCCCCTGGCAACTGCAGAAGTAGCCCCAGTTTGAAAATACTGGTAAGCGTCCATGAGATAGGCTAGAGGATGTTAAATTATGGCTACATTCAGTTATTGACTACTTGCCAAAGTGTACTTTTTATTTCACATGTATTTATTTATGAACAATAAAGTTTGCACAGTTTTTGAATTAAAACAACTGGGTAACAGGTGTCCATTGATTTCACTTGTGTTTTCATTTTTGTATGTGTATGTGTTATTTCAGTTTTATCTGTTAATGTTTAGAAAGAGCTGACTCGGAGATTTAGGCCACTACCCACATACAATGGAAGTGAATGGAAAACGGCAACAAATCTATCCAAAAGCATTGCACCTGGGCCTTTGGATAAGCCACAGACTTAGCTGTGTATAGTTTTCCCAAGAACTTTCTAGCCAAGAATTAGTCCCAATAGAATGAGAAAAAATGTTTGTTTTTTTTCAGGGTGATCTGACCCTTTGAAAATGTTGTTTGGTGTATGTGTGACTCAACTAGGATAGCACCGCTGGGAGAGGGAGGGTTGCATTCTCAACTAAGTAATGCAGAGCAGATGAGTGACACTGGGTGGCCAGTTTTTTTTTTTTTACCCTTCATCACTAGAGGCTGGTCAGATCTGGGCCAGGCCACTGGAGCCCCCATCACACAACATGACCATGTCTGATCCTTAAAGGGTCAGTTCAAAAAAAAACCCACATTTTCTCACTTACCTCCATAGCTCTCTCTCTGGTTTCATGTGCCCCCATTTTGACCACATACTATTGTGTCCGCCTCAGAACAATAGAGGGAAGTATTTTGATAGAAGCTAATAACCAAAACTTTGCTTTGTTTTACTTTTGCTTTCGTTTTGCTCTTGTATTTTTTTTTGTGCTGAAACAATAATAAGTCTGTTAATCAATAAGTTGATTGATAGGACATTTTGCAACTATTTTAATAATCATTGAGATCATTATTCACAGTGACAGTAAAGTGGATATCTTTGAGTTTTGGACTGTTGGTTGGACAAAAGAGAAGCTATTTGAAGTTGTCACCTCGGGGTATTTGTCTTCTTTTTCCCATTTTGATTTTAGACCAAACAATGAATTAATCATACAATAAAAAAGAATAATCAACAATTAACTAAGATTGTAATAGAGTAGAGGCAGAAATCTCACACAGACATCTCACAACATCACCAGAGGAGGCCAAAACAAGTGAGGAAATGTTTTTTTTTTTGCACTTTGTGTGAAATCTTTAACAGACAAGTCAGAGTCATATAATGTAGTCGTACAGGGCAACATATAGATTCATCTGTCCTTTAAAAAAAAAGCTGTAACAAAGGGATCGAGCGGCCTCTTAAAACTGGACTCACAAATACAAGAGACCTCTGGGAAATAAAGCTTTGGCAGCTTGGAGCTGCTGTAGCTGTTGTAAATATTATATGACAGTGATTTTCTTCCACTCAGTGTGAGTGATATCCAACCCTTCTCATTGTGCTGCTGCCAACTTTTATGGCTGAATTTAATTCTAGCAGTATTTCTGTTTTACTTCGTTAATAAAGCCCGGCTGTACTCTCCTCTCTTTGACGTTTTTTGGAGGTTTGTCGGATCAGACGTCACAGCAATAAATTATGAGGTTTAAAAATTAGACCCCATTAAAGTTTCAACGTCTAGTGGGCAAAGTGAATACCCAGATGGTGAGCTTAACTGCTGTCTTTTTTTCTTTTTTTTTTTAATGTCCATCTCAGCAGTTAGCAGATATCCCTAAGCATGCACGGGCTTCGGTGCCAAATAGTTCAGGCAGCTGGACGTGATGAAGTGGATAAAAAGCCCTGTTAATTGAGCTGGATCAATGGGAACTCCCTGGCCTCGCCTCTTGGCAGGTCTAAGAAGGGGTTTCCTAAACTTGAATCTATGTAAATGAATACAGTACAGACTTAACTGACCCGTGACTGATGACAGTGATTGTACCTTTAGGAATCTCTGATAGGAGTGGAAATGACTCTGCTCTGGGCAAGGAGGAATGAAATATCATGACAAATTCATCCTCTGGGAGTGAAGTGAGAGCAACATCTAAGTATTCTTAATTTTCCAGTGGCACACCTGCCTTGAACACCTGCATGTGGCCCCCCTTGAGTGTCACTGCAACATTTTAAGAAGCCACTGGGGGTCCAAAAAAAGTGCCCAATAGAGAGGAGATGTTGGGACATAAAGAAAGGGCACAGATAGATGGATGGATTGATTGATGGATGGATGGATGGATGGATGTATACAAGTCCAGGCGGCTGGGAAGGGTGGGTGGCTGGATGTAATGGAGGGGAGAGCAGGGCGGGGAAGGCTAAATGAATAATGAGGATGTTGAGGACTGATGAGACGTGCAATGCTGCGTACCTCCTCCTCCTCATGCTGCTGCTGCTGCTGCGGCTCCTGACAGGGCTGCGGTCGGCTGAAGGAGTGTGCGAACCCCGGTGCCTTTACCCGCCATCACCGCCTCCTTGGACTGAAAAACAACCTGCGCTTTAACGGCTCCCCCTGTTCCAGCTCCCTCCCCTCTAATCACACTGACACCTCGGATGTGTTACGTCCCTCCACGTCCTCATCCCCACAGGCTCAACAAACCTGCAGGTTTTTGGTTCTCCTCCTGCTGCGACTCCTCCTCTCCTCTCTCTCCTGCTCCTTGTGTCTGTTACACACCACAGCGTCCCTCTGCCTCACTTCTTATTCAATTTTTTTTTTTTTTTTGCTTCCCCTCGCTCTTTCACTGTTGTTTCATGATCTCGTCCCAGTTTATCTGCCACTCCAGGGTTTGTTATTCAATGTAAAAAGAAGAAAACACTACAGCATCCAAACACGGTTATCCGGAGCTCTGTCCGCTGCAAGGAGGGGAGCGCAGTGGCGGCAGAGCAGCAGGAGTGCGGCTGGTCCTTTGCGATGCTCGGCGGGGTGATGTACAGTACCAGCGCAGTGAGAGCGATGGGCAAAAACACAATAAAAAATAGTATCCTTTCCCCTCTGAGTCCATTCACTGCCAAAACATGTTCCCAGAGTCCTCAAGGAAAAACAAAAACAACTAGTCGTCTTTCTTCACCTCCCCGCTTCGGTTTGTCAGCCCGCTCCTTCTTGTTTTTCTTCTCACGGATCTTCCCTCCGCGCTGTCTTCGACCGACCCCTGTCGGATTTCTTAGCCGGGCAAGGCAGCTGCTGGCCCGGGCAGGCTGTCTGTCAGACACCGCTACACTGACGGAACTCTACCACGTCACTGCATTATTAGCGGAGTATCTCACGTGACCCAGTTAGACGCTCATGTTGCGTTTGTGGGGTGTGGGTGAAACACTCTCCCCCTACACACACACACACACACACACACACACACACACACACACACACACACACACACACACACATATTTTCATGAACACGCCCCATCTCAAAATGTGCATAACATCACATACTGTTGTAATTAAAACTGGCTATCGGTACAGTCAGTATAAGGGGTAAACTGGGGTAAGATGTATTTTCTTTTAATATAGCTATATATATATCATTTGAATATATAGCCTTCACAAGAAGTGTGCATATAAAGTAGAGATTAAATGAAAATGAAGCCTTTTTTTATCATTTTAGATCACACCTCAGGTCATATTGTGCACATATTTAATAGTAGGCTATAGCCTATGCTTATACCAAAATCTAATCAAATTTCTTCCTGTAAGACAACATGTGATGTGTTTCTGGATGCTGGGACTCATCATTACTGTACAAAAGCCCATATTAAAGAGTCCAACCTCCGGCACTTTTCTGTCTATCTTCACCTGTCCAATCAAAATGGTCATGGCCATGCTGTTCACTAGTAGCTTCCAGTCCGGCAGAGTCAGCTAACAGGACTGCCATAACTGCATGGCAACTGCACCAGTTTGGTGTGGAAGAATGCTGCAGAGAGCACTGACCTTAACCCCATCCAACACCTTTGGGATGACCTGGAACGCTGACTGTAAGCCAGACCTTATCGTCCAACATCAGTGTTGGACCTCAATACTCTTGTAGCTGAACGGGAGCAAATCTCTGCAGCCAGGTCTTAAGATTGATTTTAAAACCTTCAGAGAAGAATAGACTGTCATAGCAGCAGATTCACAGCCATGAAATGACATGATCAGCAATCACATAGGTGTGATGTTTGAGGGTCTACATTCTTTTGGCCAATTAGAATATGTATGTTATATGCTGTTAATCATTTTTAATTCATTGTTTGTTAACTATCACATTAAGTAACACTTGGAAACAAAACTGCATAACCCGACTATGATCCTAAACGGCAGGACTGAAATGTTGTAATTCATTTGTGAGTGAAAATGATGCAGCTTTATTGTGGAGACTGCAAATGTGATTAAAAATAAATAATACTGGCATTAACAAACGGTGTGGGATCATCAAAAATCTGCAGATAATGTCAGGATTTAATAGGGTAGTGGAGCTATCAGGGTCCATTCAGAAAAATAAAAAGCTAAAAGCTAAAGTGGATGGTATTTCTAAGTAGGGTACTCATTTCTCCCACTTTTCTGTCATTCACATGAATGCAGCATCACTCCCTCCTTTCCTCCTCTCCCCCTCCTCCCAAACCAGCCACCCTGGTCCCCCTCTGTGGGCGGGGGAAAAAAAGGGGGATTTAACTCCGTAAGAGCATGGTGGCCAGTGGTTGTCTGGTAACAGCTGGATTTGCCACCATTGTGCTCTTTGTTTAACGCTGCCTCTAATATTGCCTCACTGGACAGTACCATTTTAAAACTCATCTTTTGCCCTGTTTGTTACATTAGCGATGCGTCATTATGCACACATGATTACCAACTATATTTAGCGTGCTTTCACATCTAGACTGACAAGACAAAAAAAAAAAAACAATAACACATGCTGTAGGTCGTTGACAGCACTGGCTATCTCCTTCCACAGCAGCATGATGATGAAACCCTACCTGTCTCATTAATGACTTAAACACAATACAAACCCTTCATCAGCTTTCAGTCATGTTTACACTCATGCATCTCCAGAGACCGGCATGTTTCTTGATAGGCGATGAAAGCTGCTTGTCTCTTTCCCTCTCTCTGTAGAAGTGGAGCAGATGGAATTATGGCTCATGCAAAAGCAGCTCTCCACTTCAGGGACAGTAAGCCGGTGGGAGAGCGGCCTTCTTGCAGCACTGTAAATATTGTAAGGTAGCACCGCAGCATAGGAGCACAGGTGACTGAATAATTAATAGGAGCTGTGTCTTTGACAGATATACTTTGGAGGCCATTAGCTCTGCTACCTGGCCGGTGAGAGCATATTTGTCAAAAGAAAGTAATGCCGGGGAGGTGATTGATTTCCTGTGGCTGCCAGGTTAGAGGGAGCGCGCCTCTGTACATTAATATCATGTGGCATCTATTAGATAGGTGACTTCCTCAACTTGTCTAGCCCGGCTGCCTCAGCAAAGACCAGCGTATCAAAATTTAAATTGTCATCATTAATTGCTAGTGCTCGGGGAGTATCTTGGAACACCACGTCTGCCTCTCTTGCCGTTACTCAGAGAAACCCAGTCTCCTGCACACAGATGCATACACATATACACAGATGTCCTCATGTACAGTAGACAAAATGCAAATGCACGCTTAGTGCATTAAGGTTGAGCGAATACTTGACTGAAACAAGTCAAATGTGTCAATATCCATAATAATAATAATAATAATGATACAGTTTACTTAAATAACATCTTTGTTAACAATGTTACAAAGTGCTTTACAAAAAGAAATAAAACCCATGCAAGGTAGATCAAATGAGAATAAGGCCATGCATTGTCCTTTTGCACAGCAGGTAAACTATAAAAATGAATAAGAATGAATAACTATCTTTCACAGAGAGAAAGGTTCTAAGAAGAGATTTAAAAGAACCCAGAGACTTGGTTTTTTTTAATAAGTTGCTATATTTCTAGGCTTTTATAGAGCCCCCACACTATGGAACTCTCTGCCTAATGAATTCAGACACACTAACTTGTTCTGCAAATATTTCTCTCATCTTATGATCAAAAACATTTCTCTGAAGCTCAACTGTGAGGCTGCTCCGTATATATGTAAATATAGTGTTTTATCAACTTCTGATATAACCCGTATCAGTTTCAGGCTTAAATGAACAACTGCCAGTTAGTCCCGCTCACTTCTAATTTAAGCACCACCTACGCCTGCTTTAAGCCCAGCCCATTCCGAGTACAGATATAAATACAGATAACTTAGTTGGATGAACAGATACAGTTACAGATAATGGTGTACTCACCCATCCTTAATGCACACAAACCATAATATATTACTTTCCTTAAATTTTGCTGTGATGCCTCAATAGTCATATTATATAAACCCGGACTTCAACTCCTCTTATGTGATCTCCTTTCATCTCACAAAGTTTGAACACCCATGCCTTGAAGTGAGAAGTCAATAAAAGAATGTTTGTGCATGAAGTGAGGTGCTATTCACAAAATATGAGTGCTGTGAAATAGCAAATAAAGAAAGAGACCACATTTCTTTATTGTATTTTGTGTGTGTGTGTGTGTGTGTGTGTGTGTGTGTGTGTGTGTATGTATTTGTTTTTGTTTCAAACACACTTCTGATGAGTGAGAAAGTATGACAGTACAGCCCATTTCCTCTTGCCAAGCAATAAGTTCAAACGCAAATGGTCCGGCATTTGCATAGCAACCAGCAAACCCTTTCACATTTGAATAATTTCTAATTTCTATGCTTTCAGTCATGGTCAATTCGCCATATTGGCAAGTTCTGAAAAGAAACGCTAACTGCCAAGGCAAATAATGCAGTTATATCTACCTATTCACACTGTGAGTTTACCCATTTGATAAGTCAATTGCTCTTTCTTTGTTCTAATTCTTTCTGAAGCACATTTTCCTCAGGTTGTTCTGTACTTTACTTTCTCTTTTCCTCCCAGACACTACTGGAGGAAAGAAAGGTCGGTTATCTCAATGCTATGCCACCCTATAACGCCAGTTGATGAAATGTGAGCTGTTATTGCTTCTCTTAAAGAGTGCAGTCGCAATATCCTGTTGCAGAGCCTCAAGTGCAAGCAGGGATGTCTCTGTGAATATCTTTGCCTTCACTCAGACCCAGACCTCTTTTCAGTGAACACAAACCAGGGGTCAGCTGTGTTATAGAAGAGGACAGCTTATAAAGCATTATGTATTATTTCACTTAATGTCATGCTATCTTGGAAACTATTCATAGCGTGAAATAACGCAGGTTTAACTTTTTTTTACTTTTATCAGTCAAATCACAACAGGAAACATTGGCTAATGTGTAGCTAAAAATAGATTTTCTGATAGCAACTGCCATTGCACCTGCAACCAACTTGTTTTATTTTTGTTAAACAAAAATAGTAATTGCACATGTGACATTTGAGGATTTTTTTTTTATGATTCCTTCTGTATGTGCCAAACAATATGTGTGACAAAAGATGCATTCGGCCACATTCATGACAAAGTGAGAATGTAATGTATGTCAGATCCATATGGAAATGCATTTTCCAGAGCAGATCCAATCAGAAAATGCATGCGATTCAAACAGTTGGCTGGCAGTTTGGATAGTAGCACGCCTGTCAAAATGAATTGTCTGGATTTTCGCAGACAGGCAACAAGGGGCGTAGCATTTACTGTCAATATATAGAGACAGCATAATGAGAGGTAGCACACATTCACATGTTTCTTCACAAGAAAGGGAAATCTGATTTTAGTCTGTATACAGGCAACACATTTTAATTCCATGTGTTAATCCATCTCAGCTATATCCAGGCACATCTGAACACACATACTTGTCATAGCCTGGGCTAAAGAAAGCCAGAGCTGTCCGATCGTCACTGCCAGATATAGATGTGGTCAGACAGTCTGACATCCAGCCACAATCTACAAATGAGCAATGTACTGTAAACAAGAAGTGCTGGAGGTGAAAGCAGGAAGTCGTGTGGACAGTTACAAGGGATGCATTACATTCCTTTTAGGGCAAGAGAATTATGTGAAGTGAGCTCATAATTAACAGTCTTTATAATCAAATATCAAGAACCACACAGACATCACAAATAGCCTGTTTTTTTCTCTTGTATCACAACTACTTCCCATGTAAATTGGCTATTTCTTCTCCTAAAAAACAAATAAATGATCTAGCTTCTGTTATGATGTAGATGCAGTCCACATATGATGCACATACAAGTGAAATAAAGGGTCAGTACAGAAATTTTGTCATCGTCAGTAATGTAATCTCAAAAT